TTATTTACACGTTTCAATGTCTTAAATATAGATCTAGTTTGTTATTGTACAAGTATTTTTACATTTATATCCCATTTGTTGTTACCGTGAAAAGTGTTTTCTTTTATAACGAACTCTACTCATTAATCTCATTATACTACCTAGTCCTGTTATATGTGATTTTGGTGGTTTATATGTCATTTCAAAACATGGGTAGTAATTCCTTTTTAAAAATAGGCCTGGCTATGTGCTGCAAGTGTCAGAAATTTATGATTTAAATATATATTTTGATAAATATTATTAGATCTATAGCAAATTTAATTTACTGCCGTTCATCCTACATCAAACTGAGACAGAACTAAATTAGTACTATTAAACCTAATACAAGCGGAGTAATTTGTGTAAACCAGATAAAATTAAAATTTTCCAAAAACTTTTGTTCTAAGATAAATAATTTGATTTGTCTTGTATAATTTTACACTGAACTTTTTAACATTAAATATTGTTAAAAATCAAAATATAGAGAAGTCAATGTTGGGAACTATTTATTTTACTGTTCTTCGGTTTTCCCGCTATATGTCACAAAATTCGGAAAAAAGAACAACATCAACATGGCGTCCACACAGGAAAAAAGTAGAAAATAAAGGAAGACATTGTTCATTGTTGTTGGCTTCTTGCACAGTTTGTCTCCGTTGACGAAAAGTTCCAAACCCACTAAAATTACTTCAATGCTGTAGGACTAACAAGCAACGGTACAGTTTCCTTTCTCACATTTTTTTTGCCAAGTAGGTAGATTTGACAAAGTTATCAAAATAAGACTTGCTACCAAACAAACAGATTGAGTAATTTAGATGTGACATGTACCTTTAATTGACCTTTACCGTCAAGATCAAATTAATGAAATTCTCTTGTTTTTCCCATAACTTTGTTAGTTGCAAGGAATTAACTTCATATTTGGACACATCATCTTTAAGCCGAAGATATAACAAACTCAAATTGACCTTGACTCATGTATGACTTTAACCTTGAAGGTCAGTTTATTGAATTTTCACTGATTTTTGCTTTAATTGGCCTTTAACTTGGTTATTAAGCAATGGATTATCTTCATACTTGGACAAATCAACCTTTTGGACAAGACCTTCTAAATGGTTGAACTGACCTTGACCTTAAGCTTTAAATGACCTTGGTCATAATTTTTTTTTATGTACAGATTTGATTTATACTGGAACAAAACAAGATTTTCTACCAAACAAATTTGAATAATTCACTATCAAGGTCAAATTAATGAATTTCTCTTATTTTATCCTATAGCAATGAGATTTGGAATTTGGACTATGTGCACAGTTTTAGATGTAAAATTGAACTTTGATATCTGCTGACCTACATTTGATGAAGTGACCTACTTCTAAACACAGCTGATGTAGATAATTTGATGAAGTGACCTACTTTCTTGACCCTCCATATACAGCTATGAAATTTGGACCATGTACCTAGTGTCACTAGTGACTTTGATATCAACTTACCTAGATAACAAGTGATCTACTTTATTGTCCGTTGATGTACAGCTATGAAATTTGGACCATGTGCTTAGTTTCAGATGTAAAATTGAACTTTGATATCAACTTACCTAGATAATTTGACTAAGTGACCAACTTTCTTGTTCTTTCATGTACAGCTATGAAATTTAGACCCTGCGCTCAGTTTTAGATGTAAATTAAAAATTGAACTTTCAGCTGACCTAGATTTTTATGAAGTGACCTACTTTCTTTTCCCTTGATGTACAGCTATGAAATTTATATCACGGGCAGTTTTAGATGTAAAACTGAACTTTAATATCAGATGACCTAGATTTTGATGAAGTGACTTATTTTCTTGTCCTTTAATGTACAGCTATGAATTCGGACCATGCATATTATGGCAATGATTCTTACTTGGACAAAACAATAAGTGTGACTAGACCTACCTGTCAAAATTTAAAAAAGGAATAACTCATTCTTTTTCATTACTTTCTTTTTCAAGATTTGCTTAAACCTTAAAAAAAGTAAAAAAGTTGAGTGTTGCAGCCATGCAGCTGCGGCTCTTGTATTTTCTTGTCGAACTTTTTTTATCAAAACATGTATTCTGACTCAGGGTCATTATGGCCCTTGTGTTTCATCTTACAAAGGTGTATCCTCACAGTTGCACTTGTGCAAGCCCGGTAGCAAAATTAATTGTGTTTTATTGAATGAAGTTAAGAAATACACAAATTAGTGAAACCTTGTTGGATCATTGACATTGGAGAAACCATATTTACTTTATGAAAAATTTAGTTTTGGAGAAACCAGATTTACTTAATACAAAATCTAGTTTGTTTGTGTGTTGGAAGCTATAAGCTTATATGGAACCTGTTCCTGGAACCAACCATTTCCAAGCAATGAGTGAAACAATCTCTAATCCATACCTGGGACCAATCAGTACTAAACCAAGAGTGTAAAGTTTCTTGCTCATAGAAACCAGAAGCCATCAATCCTCACATTACTAGTGTGAAGTGTTAAACACTGGGCTACGCCGCCATAAACCAGATTTTTTGGCATTATATAGATATGCAGAGTCTTATAATGGTGTCTTAGATTTTGACTGTGATGTACACTTTATACCCATTGATGAACCAATTTGAAATTTTGCTGTGGTATATGATGATGTTGTCTTTTATCAGGTCTATCATTGATGAATGTGTCCTTCCTTGGAAGCAAACATTTTGTTATCTATAATCAAATTTTTATCGTATGGTTAACAATCAAATTATTTCTGAATGGTTCAAAGCCAATCCAGCCCAACATAAGCTACATTGTTCATTGAAAGAGTTAATGTTCTTGAGCAGCACTAAGAATTAGTCTTGCAACAAATCATAGGTGATCATCATCGTCTACAAATTTGATATAAATCATGGTAAGAAAATAGAAGTAAAAGCAGATTTTAAAAATGAAATCCATATCAAAAACTGCAAGTATCGGAACAAAATTAAAATACATTTTGTATACAGCATTTACTGGTGATCCTGTACAGTTTCCCCTGGGAGAGAAACATTACATAAATTACATGTACATGTACTTTTTCATTTTCTCAGATTATATGCAGTATTAATGATCATGACATGCACTGAAGTGTTTTGATATGCCTGAAAGAATTTTTGGCTCATAATGTTTGTATTTCATATATATAATATGCTACATAGCATTTAAGATATATCAATTAAAGGGAAGTAACACAATAGCAAGTCTGAAATGTTGCTAAATAAGTTATCTTTCTTTATACCTTTTAAACTGCAAGATGGATATAAAAACTACTTTGCACTTAGTCATTATTTATGAATTTCAATACAATTTGTATTTCATCTTTGATGCAGCTTGAATGGGATGAAATTGAAACTATTTGACAGAAATGTTAACCATAGAGACGATGTGCCGCACAAAGGTTTATGCTTCCATGGACCATGGTCAACTCGTGTAACTCTTTGTGGATCATTATATGTGTAAATTTCAATGTTTTCTGTCAGCTCTGTATTTTATGAACTGATAGAAGAAACATTAAGACTATTTTCAGAAATGTTAACTCAGGAGGCAATAAATGTGTAAAGAACTCATGTTTCATCCTCCTCTGTTTAAGGTCAAGTTTGAACATAGTCATTTAAAATCTTTATATTTAAATAAAAATATTCAAGGGAGAATAGTACTTTCTTAGTATACATTAAATAAAGGTAGAGTACTCTGTACATACTGTAATGTATTTTACAGTCATGAAGCAAGTGGATGAAAGCCCAATATGGATTTTTTTCTGCTTTTGTGGCACATGTATATTTTATGTTTTTTTTTAGCTCACCTAAGCTAGCTCTGGGTGAGCTTTTAGGATCGTTGAATGTCCGTCGTCTGTCGTCCATCGTCTGTCCACACTTGTTCGAACATGGGTCATCTGGAATAAAAAACTAGGTCACAGGAGCTAAAAATAGAAAAACCTTGTTAACACTAGTGGTCACATTTTGACTCAATTATCATCAAACTTTGTCAGGATGCTTGTCTAGGTGATTGCTCGGATTGGTTTGAACATGGGTCATCTCGGATGAAAAACTAGGTCACAGGAGCTAAAAATAGAAAAACCTTGTTAACACTCTAGTGGCCACTGTTTTGATCCAAATACCCTGGAAATTGGTCTGAAAGGGGAGCCGTGGCCTAGTGGTTAAGGTATCTGCCGCTCAACCCAGAGATCATGGGTTCGAGCCCTACTCGGGTCACGACCATGTTTCTTCATATGACACCAGTACTGGTTGGTTCCAGAGAGCGGACTCGAAAGTGATTAATATAAGTTGCAAGAACTTGTTTCACAATCAAGCTAAAATAAATATGGTTAAACCAAAGCTTGTTTTGATGAATTCTAGGTCAAGTTCAAATATGGGTCACCTTGGGTCAAAAACTAGGTCACACTGCTCAAATATGGATAATCCTTGTTAACACTCTAGTGGTCACATTTTTGACTCACCCGTCAGAATGCTTATCTAAGTAATTGTTCAGATGATTTTAATGGGTCAGGTGAGTGATCTAGGGCCAACTTGGCCCTCTTGTTAAAAACATTTTTTGGAATCTAAAATTTCAATTCAGAAATAAACAGGATAATATATCTATCATATAATAAGAGAAACAAGAGGTACAATATGGAGCTTTACAATTTGAAAATAAACTGTTTTGTTACAATTTCTTGTTATAGTGAGGATTTTTAATATAAACATGTTTTAAAAAAATTCATGAATGCAAAGTCTGTTCCCTTCTTTAAAGATTTTTTGATCATTGTTGCTAACAAGGTTGCATTCTGTTTGTATTGCCATGGCTTAATTTGATGTGCTCTTATTTTGAATGTCAGGTTTAATGTGATGTTATGTATTGCTTATATGTGTAGTGGAATGCAAAAATGGGGCTTCTTGACGTTGACGTCGTTATCGAGAAATTGCGAGATCTTTGACGCCATTTTTTTCCTCATTTTTTTCCGTTCATCTGGCAGTAAAACAGCGCTTAAGTATATAATAAATGACTTGTCAGCACATGGGGTCCCGATTCATACAGAGTAATCAACGGCAAAAATAATTTGCTACCGTTCATCCTATGACAGCAAGTAAAATTATCACGGGAAAAGATTTTTACGAGGACAACTGATTACGTCATCTGACATTGATTGTTGATAAAATATTGGTGAATTGATTCGATGTTTTTCGGTGTTTTAAAGAATATTCTACACTGACAACGTCTGCTTTGACAAAACTTATATAAAACTGGATTATTCGGGTTAGGTAAGTATTTATTATTTCTAGTATTTTTGCTTTAATATGTATTTTATCGGAAAATAATTATACCCGGAAGTAAAACAATTGCAGTTCCTGGACAACGGTTTGTTGATAGCAACATGGAAAATGGCAGCCAAGTAATTATTTACTCAAAGCAATTAATACCAAAATTTATGTTATTAATCTCTTAGATAAAACAATCATCAAAGTGATGAAATTCAAGATTTTCAAGAATTTTAATCTTTACTTTCTTCCATGCATACTATAGACAGTACGGTAGACATGAATATGAATAAAAATTTGAGCTGTTGAAAATTTGTATCCCAAAAGTGAAAATATATCTCTGGCTCCTTTGTTTGAGCTGTTTAAATTTTTTCAGATCTTTAAAATTAGAAATATGGAGATGTTGCATTTTCCATAATTTCTCATAACCAGACTCAATAAATGGAGGGTATTGAATGAGTGCATAGGTCTATTTTTATGCTCCCCGAAAAAATTTCGGGGGAGCATATAGTCGCCGCCTTGTCCGTCCGTCCGTCCGTCCGTCTTTCCGTCCGTCCGTCCGTCCGTCCGTCCGTCCCCTTTTCTTGTCCGGGACATAACTTTGAAACAACAAGAGGTATCAACATGAAACTTTGTAGGTAGATAGATCTCATTGAGTAGGTGTGCAGTGCACAAGAACCGTAACTCTGCCTTGCCTAATTTTTGAATTATTCCCCTTTGTTTATTTTTACACTTTGAACTTTGTCCGGGACATAACTCTAAAAGTATAAGAGGTATCAACATGAAACTTTGTAGGTAGATAGATCTCATTGAGTAGAAGTGCAGTGCACAAGAACCGTAACTCTGCCTTGCCTAATTTTTGAATTATCCCCCTTTGTTTATTTTACACTTTGAACTTTGTCCGGGACATAACTCTAAAAGTATAAGAGGTATCAACATGAAACTTTGTAGGTAGATAGATCTCATTGAGTAGGTGTGCAGTGCACAAGAACCGTAACTCTGCCTTGCCTAATTTTTGAATTATTCCCCTTTGTTTATTTTTACACTTTGAACTTTGTCCGGGACATAACTCTAAAAGTATAAGAGGTATCAACATGAAACTTTGTAGGTAGATAGATCTCATTGAGTAGAAGTGCAGTGCACAAGAACCGTAACTCTGCCTTGCCTAATTTTTGAATTATCCCCCTTTGTTTATTTTACACTTTGAACTTTGTCCGGGACATAACTCTAAAAGTATAAGAGGTATCAACATGAAACTTTGTAGGTAGATAGATCTCATTGAGTAGGTGTGCAGTGCACAAGAACCGTAACTCTGCCTTGCCTAATTTTTGAATTACCCCCCTTTGTTTATTTTACACTTTGAAATTTGTCCGGGACATAACTCTAAAAGTATAAGAGGTATCAACATGAAACTTTGTAGGTAGATAGATCTCATTGAGTAGAAGTGCAGTGCACAAGAACCGTAACTCTGCCTTGCCTAATTTTTGAATTATCCCCCTTTGTTTATTTTACACTTTGAACTTTGTCCGGGACATAACTCTAAAAGTATAAGAGTATCAACATGAAACTTTGTAGGTAGATAGATCTCATTGAGTAGGTGTGCAGTGCACAAGAACTGTAACTCTGCCTTGCCTAATTTTTGAATTATCCCCCTTTGTTTATTTTACACTTTGAAATTTGTCCGGGACATAACTCTAAAAGTATAAGAGGTATTCAACATGAAACTTTGTAGGTAGATAGTTCTCATTGAGTAGGTGTGCAGTGCACAAGAACCGTAACTCTGCCTTGTTTAATTTTTGAATTATCCCTCTTTGTTAATTTTACACTTTGAACTTTGTCCGGGACATAACTCTAAAAGTATAAGAGGTATCAACATGAAACTTTGTAGGTAGATAGATCTCATTGAGTAGGGTGTGCAGTGAACAAGAACCTTAACTCTGCCTTGCCTAATTTTTGAATTATCCCCCTTTGTTTATTTTTTACACTTTGAACTTTGTCCGGGACATATTTCTTAATGTATAAGAGATATCAACATGAAACTTTGTAGGTAGATAGATCTCATTGAGTAAGTTTGCAATGCACAAGAACTGTAACACTGTCTTGCCTACTTTTGTAGTTATTGCCCTTTGTTCATTTTGACACTTTGAACTTTGTCTGGGACATTATTCTAAAATTATAAGAGATATCAACATGAAACTTTGTAGATAGATAGGTCTCATTGGGTGGAAGTGCAGTGCTTAAGAATCATTACTCTGCCTTGCCTTATTTTGAAGTAATTGCCCTTTGTTTATTTTTACTTTTTGACTTTTGTCCTGGACATTACTTTAAAACTATTAGAGATATCAACATGAAACTTTGTAGGTAGCTAGATATAATTGGATAGAACTGCAACGCTTCAAGAACCTAAACAAAGCCTGGTGTAATTTTGGAGTTATTGCCCTTTGTTCATTTTTTTTATACTTTCCTGTGTCCAGAACCTTCTCGGGGAGCATCACCCGGTTCAACCGGTTCTTGTTTTTTATTGACACAACTAGACTATAGTGTAACGCTTACACTTAACATGTATTTACACTACTGGTTGGGGACCACCAAAACCGGACAACCACCAATTCCGGACGGCCCCGAAAATGCTTAATTCAGTATTTTCTTTGTTCAGTGGTTGTCAGTCACATTTTTTATCAACATTAAGTGCATGTTTCTTTTAGAATTAAGTAAATAAATTTATTTGAACCTCTGTAAATGGTAATATTTTAATGTCTATTTCAAGAATGTTAACATTGAAATTTGGGGGTCAAGAAAGCAATGCCTGACCTCATATATAAGCTATAATCATTTGCAGAGTAAATAATAGAATATCCAAAACTTCAGCATTTGTTGCTGACATATTATATATCATGTTACAAATAAAAAATCAAAACACCCATGCTTTTATTTGAATTAAATCACATCATGTACATATCTGTCGATCCGGACACATGGTACTGTAGTGTAGACAATTTAGGTAATTTTGATACCTTCCTTGTCGAGCCTCAGATACAAGTGTCAATACAATCAGAAATAAACAAACAAGTTTGTTAGTTAGGAGAACAACCTAGCTGAACTGTGTCAAATGTTTTGGTATCTAGGTTAAAAATTATTAAATCAGTATGGAAAAATGTTCAAAAAGTGTCCGGTTGATGGTCTCTGACCAGTATGTTTCTGTAAGGCATTTGATGTCACATCAAAATGTTTGTTCACATTTAGAAGCACATCAATGAATACCTAAGCCTGAACTTGTTTGAAATGATTTAACTAATATTTGAATTTAAAAAAGTCACAGCCCTATGACAAGCTTTCTAGACAGGATACATATTTAAGGAATCATATCTGCAGGTGCCTTATTAGCAAAATTTTAGGACCTCAGGAAAATCTGACTGTTTTATAAATTGTAAAATCTGTAAATCAATAAAACATAATCTATAAATTTAACTACTGTACATTTCAGGCACTTCACCATGCACTTATGATTTAAAGTACTCCAACCCTTGGGATTATGCCAAACAAGTGCATTTTTCCCCATCATTCTCAACCGGTTGGTCCAATATGTTTTAGGACACCAAGAAAGTTCCATGTGTTTGGTGTTTGTGTAGAGGGATCAGGTTAGTTTGCCCATAACATTTTTTGACATATTTTTTCATGTGCATATTGTAAAAACATGTTTAAAAATATCAAGGTAGATTTCTATATTTTTTTTTCTTGTCAGATGTGTTCCTTTGCCATGAATTTTATTATTTTTCTCCTATGCCATAGTACTTTCAGTTGCAAAAAGAATATTCAGTTAAATATAATCTTAATTTTAAGTATTATTTACTTTAGTACTATTTATATCCTATGCAAACTTTTTAAATTTCCAATTTATATGTATTTTAGGACTTCATGGAAGTGTCAGTCTCAACATGCTTGGTACTTTTATATCTGGAAAGTGAAAAACAATGCAAAAGGTTGCCTAAATGTACTGTCCTGAAGTCATCAAGACATGGGCACAAGATCCTACAGCTTATAGATGATCCAGAAAATCCCTAGGAAGTCACTTCTTATGTGAAACCCCTCAAACTGTTATCAAAATACCACCATTTTTGTGCAAGTGCAATGGAGCCAAGTGTTATAACATGTAAAGAATATATTAACTCTGTGGAAGTAAAAATGTATTTACTGAAACAATTGCCTCCCAGAGGTCTTTTACCTGAAGTACAGTAATGATGCAGCAAGACATTAGTATCTATTTGAACAATTGGGCAGTTCTTCAAATCTGACATAGATAAAATACTGTGTGGCCAAAACCAGTTATCCCGAAAACAGAAATAAAGTTGGATATTGACAATTATGTGAAAAAGGTGGAAAGAGAAAGAGCAGTCTTTTACTCTTGAGTATAATTATACCCCCACCACAAAATGTGGGGGGGGCTATAATGGATTCGCTTTGTCGCGTCGGTCGGTCGGTCGGTCGGTCGGTCGGTCCGTCCGTCTCCATTTTCGTGTCCGCTCTATAACTCCTATACCACTTGAAGGATTTTCTTCAAACTTGGCTCAAATGTTCACCTCAGCAAGGGGATGTGCAGAACCCATGTTGCCCATGTGTCAGCTCAAGGTCAAGGTCACAATTGAAGGTCAAATATCAAACACAATCATATATTAGACAGTATGTCGTGTCCGCTCTGTAGATCCTACAATAATTGAAAGATTTTCTTCAAACTTGGCTAAAATGTTCACCTCAACAAGGGAATGTGCAGAACTCATGTTGCCCATGTGTCATTTTAAGGTCAAGGTCACAATTGAAGGTCAAATATCAAACAATCAAATATTGCACAATATGTCGTGTCCGCTCTGTAAGTCCTACACGAATTGAAAGATTTTCTTCAAACTTGGCTCAAATGTTCATTTCAACAATGGGATGTGCAGAACCCATGTTGCCCATGTGTCAGCTCAAGGTCAAGGTCACAATTGAAGGTCAAATATCAAACAATCAAATATTACACAGTATGTCGTGTCCACTCTGTAAGTCCTACACTTATTGAAAGATTTTCTTCAAACTTGGCTCAAATGTTCACCTCAACAAGGTTATGTGCAGAACCTATGTCACTCTTTTGCCGGCTTAAGGTCAAGGTCACACTTGAAGGTCAAAAATTGACTTAGAAAATGTTCTTTAATTTTAACATATATCTGAATATTTCTGAATCTAGAAAAGGTATTTGCTTGAAACTTAAAATATAAATGAAGTGTCACAATTAAGATATGCTGGTCAAGTTTCATAACTCTGTATTGCATTTTAACAAAGTTATGCCCCTTTTTAATCTTCAAATTTACATACAATCACATATTAGACAATATGTTGTGTCCGCTCTATAAATCCTTTACTAATGGAAGAATTTTCTTCAAACTTTTCTCAAATGTTCACCTAAACAAGGTTATGTGCAGAATCCATGTCACCTTTGTGCAGGCTAAAGGTCAAGGTCAGTCTTGAAGGTCAAAAATTGACTTAGAAAATGTTCTTAGATTAAAACATGTTCTTGAAATTATTTCGGAAACTAGCATAGGTATTTGCTTGAAACTTAAAAGATATATGAGGTGTCACAATTACGATATGCAGGTCAAGTTTCATAACTCTGTATTGCATTTTGACAAAGTTATCCCCCTTTTTAAGTCTTTAAATTTACATACAATCAATACTAGACAATATGTTGTGTCCGCTCTATAAATTCTATACTAATGGAAGGATTTTCTTCAAACTTTACTCAAATGTTCTCTCCAATTGGGCGATGTGCAGAACCCATCATACCCTTGTGCCAGCTGAAGGTCAAGGCCACACTTGAAGGTCAAAATTGACTTATAAAAGTTTAGTATATTGGGAAAATGAAAGGTTATTTGTAACTGTTTCGAACATGATTTGATAATAGATATTTTTACTATTACCTGTACAATTAGTCTTTTTTTCACCAGAGATAATTTCTTTTTATGTATTTGTGCCACTTAAGTTATTCCCTTAACCACCTTTCCAAGTTGTCTTCTGTCAAGGACATTGGTGGGGGTATGAATCGCATTCAGCGATAGTTCTAGTTGGAGTTCCTATAACATAGTGGTCATGTATGGACTGTCATTATTTTCTTCATTTCAAATATAGCTTATGATACAAGTAGATGCTTCATAAGATATGACTGCAAGTGTGTTGCATAACTGGTGCTCTAAGGACTAATGCTATATTTACAAGTGTGTGGATCATTGATGTATAGATATTAATGAATGGTTGCCTATATTATTTTTGGATGTCAGTATACCAGTTACTAATTTCCATCATTTTACAAAATGTTTATCAGATTAAGTTTAGTGTAATACAACATTTGTCATTTTACTCTAAGTTATATAATTCTATTGAACCTATGCATGTTATGAATTGATCAACTGTCAACTGATCTTAAGCTTTGATCTAGATTGAAAATGACTGTATGAAAATGTAAAGTAACATTAAGCTTCAGTACTTGTTGTCAAATTTTAAACATTTTATAGTTGTAGAATATGAAAAATACTTTATCTATAACAATGGTAGGTCAGTTGAATTTTTATGTTGATATTAGTGTAGAATCACATTGTATTAATTATCACCAATCCTTAAAATTGTTAAAAGAAGCAGCAAAATCAAAGAATATTCAATGGTAGCTAGGCAACCAATATCCCCTTCAGTTGGGAAGGATTTTAAACAGGTGCATCATAATAAAAATACTTTATATGTTTGATCTCATTGTAACTCTATAATTGAAAAATAATCACCACTAAGTCATAAAATATCAAAATATAGAACCTTAAATGTACCTGAAAATAAATGTTGTGAACATGATATTAGAAGTATCATTTTTAATTTATATTATTAAGGAATGGTGAGGCAGGCTGTTCTCTGAATACCTTATTAAGTTCAGTTACACATTATTTGTAGGATTGTTTTCATTTTTTTTATAATAACACAAATTGCTTTTTTGTAACTAAGTTGTAATCTCCTGTATGCCTGTAAAAATTTGGAAATTTAGAAATTTATAAAAAAAAATATTCATTGGTTGCTTAGCAACCTAATTATATACAGAGACAGTTTTAAGTAAGGAACATTTTTTTGTAGGAATTATCTTTATGTCATTTTAATTAAATATAATGCTAGTCAATTCAAAGTCCTTACTTTGTTGTGAAACAGTGTAGTTAACACCAGATGTTACTGAACATACTTTTATGAAATTATGTATATTATCTATATAAATTCAAAACCTATAGTAAAGTGAGTTTAAGGATACTTTGATCCAAGACCTATTATTAAGATTGTATTTGCAGTTTTAATAGTTGTAATTTGTTTTTTGTAATCATGCTGCTTTGTTCATGGTTTTTTGAGATATTTTTTAATCAAACTTAAAATTTGTAAAATTTAAAAGGAAATTATGGAAGATATTGTGGTTGCTTGGCAACACTGATTAATTTTTATTTATTGCTTAGGTATTATGTAAATCAGTTATACAGCAGATATATATATTTATGTAATATGGAAAGTAACAGTGATTTGATCAAATGCTTATTGGTTATTGTAAAACATACAGAGCAATATACATGGCAAAATACTGAGTTTCTGCTAAAATTTGCATGACTTACTTACACTAGTCAAGTGTACAGAACATGGATTGTATGATATATCTTCAATGGAAAATTATTGAAAAGTAATTAATAGGCATTGTCTATAATTTTATTGAAAATTTATTTATTTAGATCTATGCTGCTTTTTTAGCTGTATTTTACCAAGAAATTTGTATATTTACAAAATAAATTACAAAAATTTAGGATTTTCCATGGTTGCTAGGTAACAGAATATAGCTTCCTTCATGTTGCATTTGTGTATTGATGCCCTTTATTTAGTGTTACTACCTTTGATGATGTTATACTTGAGTCATCTTTCATTTACTGTTGTATTAAACTGTTGTCTGCTGTCAGAGTAAATATCTGAATAAAGTTAATAAATGAATGATAAATGGACACTGTGTTTAGTTCTTTTGGAGTTGTATTATGATATCTCTCAACAGTAATATGTCCTGTTAACTCTGTAGAAATGCAATAGAACCATTTGGAAATGTGAAAGAAGAATATATTTCGTATTGATACTTGCAAGTGTTATAAAATAAACCTAGCACATAACTTTTTACATGAAAAAGGCCAGGAAGAACCCAGGAATAGGTCCGTTGCTAGGCAACATAATGTAAATAATGCTTTAATTATGGTGGCTGTATTCCAAAAATATTCGACAACATTTATTAACTTTAATAACATAAAACAATTTTTTCACAAAATTCATTTTAGCTTCAAAAGTTTTTTTCCTCATGCACCTTTAAACATCACAAAGATCAAAGATTTTTATGTGTATCTTTAATTACTTACTGGACACCATACACACAAAATTATGTATAACTTTGTAAATAAGAAAGACACGACCTTCAAATTTTCAGGAATTACTTCTGATATTTCATAGATTCAGAAAATTTAAAAAAGTGAAAATCAAAAATTTGGTCAAGAAACCCCATTTTTGCATTCCATGACACATATATTGCTTGTTATCCTAAAAAAAAAACATATTTACCTTTACTGAATTCTCTAAATGGACTTGGCCGTTCAATTTTGGAACTGTCTAGATGAAAATTTTAAGAGTTAAGTGCCTCAATTTTGAATTCGCGTCTGAAAGAGAGTTTGGATAGCAGGGATCAAACTTGCAACCCCTGGATGTTTAGTAATACAGTGTTACCACTGAACTTCTGCATCCATTCTATCATAGATTTATTTCACCCTTCAGCTGCTGAATTTTCTTAAATTGTCTATTTCTGATTTCTTTTCATCAATATGTCACAGGGTGAGAAAAATGTGCAGCCTGACAGGGACTTGAACCCTGGACCCTGGGAATACCGTTCTGCAATTTACCGACTGAGCTATCTCCCTAAAATTGTGGACAGTTTTGAACCATGACATATACTCAATCCCCTCTATATTGAAATTTGTCTTTGAATTTCACAATGTTACATAGCAATGTAAATAAAACTCTTGAGCTTAAATCATGTAGTTTCACAGCTCCCTGTTAGTGGCCAAATGTCACAATGAGGAAAATGTGCAGCATGGGACCCTCCGAA